AGATTGTACATCTCGGAATTGTCGACTTCTGACTTGCGATGGATTGCAGCATAAGTACATTTACTCAAGTATTGTACTTAAAGTTACTGTGAGGAACTTTAACTTAGTGTTGGTTCTGTTGGTCCCTGTGGACTAAAGTGGTAGTGTCTCTGAGCACCAGAGTCTCTTTAGTAAACCTCTCATTTTCCTGCAGCAGGGTCTGATAGTGCCTCCTTCCCTCCAGCGGGTCCAGCAATACGTCCTGAGTCTCCAGAAGCGTGGTGTTGGCTCCCAGAGACGAGAAACTCTGCTCCTGGAGGAGGAGGAGGAGGAGGAGGAGACGCTGCTGCTACTGCTGCCGGGAGCTCAGCTCTCCTCCTCCCTCCGGAGCTCCGACTGCAGGTCCGAGGCTGTGGTGAAGCCAGATCTGGGTCTGTCCACGGTGGACCGGTCTCTGCTGGAGGATCTGGGTCCGTCCACGGTGGACCAATGAAGAAGGAAATATGAAAGAGCCTTTATTATAATGTCTTCATCATGAGAACACTTACTTGCTTCAACTTTTACTTGGTCTTGCTTCAGGGCATTTAGACCCTATCATACATTTTAGATATTAGCAGCATGTGTCACTTGATGCAATTAAACCCTCCAGATTGCCAGAAATAACACGGCTCACGTATACTCAGCAGTGGCTCCGACCCTGTTTGACATCATTATGTAATTCTCAGTATGTTGTTATTATGTTGCATGAGTGCGTGATTTTCCCGTCGGTTTGTAATAACTTCTTGGCAGCTTTGATCAGCTCACTGCTGCTGCTGGACCAAAGAAAAGAGGATGAGATAATTGGAGAAAAGGTCATCATGACCCTTTCAACATGAAACCAGCGATTTACGAAATTATACCAATGACATTGAAAGCATCGACCTGATAAAATCAGACCCACCAACACCTGGATCCTCCAGAGTCTGCATTTCTGCTTCTATAACATGTTTTCTCTCAGATTAGTGGAAAAAAAACATCCAAAACACACATTCAGGTTTTTATTTTATTACTTTGTCTGTTTACGTCTGTAGATTTCTCCTAAATTCACCAGAAATTATATACATAACGCCTCATTTGTATATTTAAACATAACATTTCAAAAAAATTTTAATACAAAAATCTCATCTTACATCTTAATGTGAGTGATGAAGTGGTGAAGTTTCATGGTGATATCTATGAGTTAATGTATTCACCTGTAGAGTCTTTAAAGGATGTTTCCTCTAAATGAGTTTGTTCTCAGACTCTGATCCAGAAATCTCCACTTCAGCAGCTCTTACATTCACCAAACTTTACACTTTAACTCCTCTCTATGTGGCAGTGTTTTCTGATTTATGGAGTGGAAAATAGAGATATTTTAATAAGAATATTACAATATTATTTTATTAGAATTATATAATATTACATTATATTTAATTTGACCTTTTAATTGTTTTAAAAAGGGGGGGAGGATTGTGGGAGAGAAATCATGTGAGAGACGGATAAAGCTCTGCAGAGAACACATCACTTCTTGCGGCTTGTCACTGCTGCGCATCACCCAGACAGACGAGCAGCAAGTACAATAGGCAATTAGAAGCCCCCATGGAGGCACAGCACACACTGTATAAAAGAGGGGAGGACATGGGGGGGAGACGGGGGATGTTGCATCCTTTGAAACGTCTGATCCAAGCAGGAGAAAAAAAAACTCAATCACCTTTATTTACTCGCTTAAGAAAAGTGAAAGCACTCGGCTCTGATGCTTCAAATTGTGCAGAAGAAGAAGAACCCCCCCCCCCCCCTCCCCCCCCCCCCCCACGCTCCACCCCCCCCCCCCCCTCCACCCCCCCCCTCCCCCTCCTCCCCCCAATTACTCTCTTTCCGCCCTGAAGTGGTACCAGGTGGTTGATGTGTTTCTGCTTTAAAAAGTGTGCCGGCTTTCATCTTTGTGAGTCTTTTGCTCCGTTTGACGGCTGACCTAATTTCTTCAGGAACATATATGTGCTCTGGGTTTTTATCACCCATTCACACGAGGCAACGAGGGAGGTGCATTGTGGGAGAAAAGGAGAAAAGGAGGACCTCCTTGCTGTGGAGGCTGAGCTGCAGGAGACCAAAGTCTCCTTTGTGGGTCAACTAAACCAGCAGAAGATGGAGAATCAAAAACTCCAGAATGTTCTGAAGGAGAAAAAGGAGAAGATGAAGACTCGAGCTGATCAAAGGTGGAGGGTCAAGTTTTACCACCTGGAAGAGATGGAAAAGTCCAGAAGCACGTTTCTGGCCCAGGCGGCGATCCATAAAAAAGAGACTGTTAAGTTCATGGCCCACCGTCTCCAGTGGGAGGAGGAGAAAGCCTCCCTGCTGCAGGAGAAGAGAGACTCCTCTGTGGCTTGGCTCAACCATCAGAAAGAGGAGGTCGACCACTTTGCGGCTGCACTGAGGAATGCCGAGCAGCAATTTGAGGGTTTTCGAGAGTGGAGGGAGCAAAAGTTGTCCCTCACTCGGGCCGCGGAGGAGCTCAAGCAGACGCTGCAGAAGAAAGAGCAGGAGTCGGTGAGCAAGGAGGCCATCCTTCTCGCTGTGAAGACCCAGCTGGAAGATCTGCAGAGAAAGGTCGCTGAAAAGAAAAAGAACAAGTGGTACAGGTTCCCTGGTAGTCTGTTCACTCCGCGTCGAGCTGCAGCTAACCCGCTAACTGATTAGTTCAGCCTGCTGCTGGCAATGAGGCTGACTGTGGGAGGCACAGACACACCACCGGATGACCGGTTTTCACCCAGCTTGGCTGTCAGAGGGGTAATACTCCCCCTGGCTGATCTTGGTTGGTAGGTAAGTAAGTAAGTAAATAAGTAAGTCAGCAAGTAGCAAAAGTTCAGTCACCGGCACAGGCAGTTTTACTGCCTTTGTGCCACAAAGCCAGACTGAATCAATCTGAACCAATTTAACTTACTGTTAATACTCGATGCTGATTAGACATGTCATGTAGAGGGTGTTGCTGGTTCAAAAAAAACATTAATAGCCCAGGTAGGGTTTGCATAATGATACATAAAGTTCCGAGCCTTGTGGTGCAGGACCTGATGAAGCTGTCCCCGAGCCTTGTGGTACAGGACCGCTTGATGTTGTCCCTGAGCCTTGTGATGCAGGACCTGATGAAGCTGTCCCTGAGCCTTGTGGTGCAGGACCTGATGAAGCTGTCCCCGAGCCTTGTGGTGCAGGACCTGACGAAGCTGTCCCCGAGCCTTGTGGTGCAGGACCTGATGTTGTCCCTGAGTCTGAAATGGACTGTGCTTTTGTCAGGGATAGACCAGACATCTGACATGCCAGTACTTTGTCGCATCTCATAGGGCAGGGGTCTCAAACTCCTCTTCACTCTGGGCCACAACAGCATCACGGTCGCCCTCAAAGGGCCGGTTGTAAATGTAAGACTGTGTAAATGTAACTACTCCTAACATATTGGTAAATAACTGTCTCTGCATTTGATTATTGTTTATTCAAGTGTAAAAATATTGTACATGCAGTTATATAAATGTAAAAATATATTTAAGCACATTTCTGTTACTATAACTTAAATCCTTTTAATTTAGGGTTAAGAAACCCACATTACTCTATCAAAGATCAAACTTTTAAAGAAAATATCAAATATCAAACACAAGTTATTACAATAACTTTGTTCAATGCTTAAAATCCTTTCAAGGGTACCTTTGCACAATCCCACGTGAAGTATTTCATCTGTTGTAAAGCCACGTTTAAAGTAGTCTTCAATGTGCTCACAATACATTTCCATGTCAAGTGTACAGTAACCAGCCAAAGAGCTGCTTCTATGACTGTGTTTAATTATCTCATCATTTCGACTTTCTATCTCATAATTTCGACTATGGGGATATTTTTAATTATCAAATCTAACTTTAAATTTATTTTATTTTTTTTACTTTTTTTTTTTTTTATCGTGATGGACAGTCCACAAATGGCTCCCGTCATTTCTGTACTGGACATGTACATCTTTGTTTGAGAAGCCTTTGGAAATGATGGGAGCTAACGCTCCCATTATTTCTGTACGAACTTCATTCTGAGCTTCATGTTAAGGTACAGTTACTCTATGGGGCTTTTATTTTGAAAGGGTGGGACTGGGTGGGTGAGAGAGGGGGAGAGGAGACATATTCATAATGTTTGACACAAACACAGAGGTTATTAAATGACAGGCTTCATCACAAGCATTCCAGTTAGAATTCCCACTCTGTGGCTTTTATTTTGAAATGGGGGGTGGACTGTCTGTCTGCCTGTCTCACTCTCCCACTCACTCAGTCCATCTAACTGTCTGTCTGCCTGTCTCACTCACTCACTCTGTCTCTCTCTATCGTACAGTCATTCAGGTCTTAGATGTTTTTAGAGGACTTTCCCCCCCTCCCCCCCATTTCAAATTAAAAGCCCCACAGAATGAATTCTAACTGGAATGCTTGTGATGAAGCCTCTCATTTTAGTGTCAAACATTATGATTCTGTCTCCTCTCCCCCTCTCTCACCCACCCAGTCCCACCCTTTCAAAATAAAAGCCCCACAAATACAAGATTCAATCCAAGAGTATGAATCTAAAATGCAGAAAAGAGAGTAGCGCTATCTCAATTGAACCTGAATGACTCTACCGGTAACATTGGCCTGTGTATATATTGCGATTTCTTCGGGCAGTAGGAGCCACACTGTCAAAATTTCTGTAGGAATTTTCTAGTTAGTTACTATTATTAAGTACCGTGATCATGTGAACAGACACAAACTTCTCACATGTGCAGGACGCTTAGTGTCGCGACTTCGAAGTCATGTCAGGATAGACAGTGCGGTGCAGTCACAATGCAGCGGTGCAGCCGGCCAGACTCCCCCCCGCGGCCTGTGGTGACACGGTTTCATCCTCAGTGTCACCTGAAGCCTGTAATGTGTGCGCGCACATTTTTTTTTATTCTCCTCCTACAGTGAGAAGGCGTAACCACTCATAGAGAGAGAGAGAGAGAGAGAGAGAGAGAGAGAGGGAGGGAGGGAGGGAGGGAGAGAGAGAGATTTTCTGTGTTTTCGCTTTGGTTTAAAACATAGGAAGAAAACAGCGAGCAGCCTCGCCGCCCACTGAAACACGGCGACGCGCGCATCAACCGCCGCCGCCGCTGCCCTGATTAGAAATCCGCGGAGGAGCGGATGAGAGCAGACGCCCGCAGACAGGCAGACATTCAGGGGGAGGACTGCTGCTGCCATCCGACAGAGGAACTAACAAAAGGTGAGCTCCACCTTCCTCTAAAAGACCATTTATTGCACGGAGTCTGTCTGACGGAGCATCGAGGGAAACTAAAGTTATTTCCTATGTGAGGATTTATTCATTGTTGTGTTGCTTTGTTTGTCCGTGAGAGGTGAGAGCTGCATCTCTCTTGTTCGGCTTTGTCTGCACACTTCTTCCTCCATGTGCATCGGGGTCCAGCCAGTCGTGCACCACGAACATGTAACGTTGATGTGTGATTGTAGCGTTGATAACGGGATAATAATTATTATTTTTTGGGAGTCATCTTGTGCATCTGCTTTTTAAAGAGGTTTTTAATGGACTTAAAGATTTGATTTAGTTTTATTCGCACTAATTTCGTCACAGTGGTCGACAGAAATTCACAGTGCTTTATCTGAATCAATAAAACAGACCTGCTTATCTCAATCCCTTCACCGGACTGCTTACAGGGGGGGGGGGGGGGGGG